TGCATGTTTGTGCATAGATATTAAATAGAATATATGTATATTAGCGTCTATGTTCCGAAATTTGTGTGAACGACGGTATGTATAACAATTTATTAAATACTGTTTTTAAATACAAATTTTTATTAGTCTTCAAAAGTGAAAGGGGTTTTAAACTGCCAGCAAATATTTTGATGGACGGAGCGAGTTGTATTGGAAAATCAATAAAATGTATTGTATGCAAAATTTAATTCCAGCATTTGTTTTGGAGAATTTTAGGCAAGCTTTTTTTTAAATTCTTTGAGATCGGTTATAACTTTGAATATTTAACTTCATTGAAGGTGATGTGACAAATAAAAACGTTTTATTTCAGATATTGGGTAACTGTAAACAATTTCAGGCAAGAAGCTTTGACAAAAGCCAGTAAGATAAGGATAAGGTAGGGCCGACTATCTAATGCCCTACCCCACCACACATATTGAGCAATTCTACCCCTAAGAAATATATATTTGGAATTGGTGTGAAGGAAAACATACCAACTATGATCGTTTCAGAATGACATTTGAAATCGAATGGATCTAATATATGAGAGCTATATTTTAATCTGAATCGAATTCCACTAAATTTGAAGGATTATATATTATGACTTTGAAAACAAATGTAAATCCTATATCGGAGCTATATCATATGTGTATCAGAGTTGGCAGACTTTATTCTAGTCGAAACTTGGTAGTACTATATTTATATTCAAAAAATCTGAGGGAAATATATCTAAATCTGTACTGCATCGTACTAATCAAGCAAAAGGAAAACTGAAACTATATGTGCAAAATTTGGCAAAGGTATTTCTAACTGATATATTGTACCGTATATATGGTGTTAGAAATAGAATGAAAGGTGACTCCAATGCCAAGGTTTTTATGCATTTTTACACCTTACATCATTTGCATTTGAATTTGAAGAAGGAAGCGAGATAGACTTATAGTTACCTTTTGAGGATCTTCATAGAGACACTTTCTGAGTCTATTTACGCATGTCAGTCTGTCCGTCCGTCAGTCCATGTATCTTTGGGAACTAAAGGCAGGTCGCATTTATTATCCGATTGAGATGAAATTATTTGGAAATGTTTGGCCCAAGGAGGAACCATATTGAAATTGATGATAATCGGTTTAAATGTAGATATAGCTCCTATATATAGATTCAAACGATTCCGGGTTAATTATACTCCAAATTTTGGCTCACCCGACCGAATTCAGTCTAGAAGCATGTACATCAAATTTGGTGAAAATCGGTTAAAATAAAGCTTTAGCTCACATATACATATATGTTTTATTCGATTTGGTGTTAAATTCGCTCAAATGCATAATATGCACTCCCATTGTGGTATAGGGTATAATATAGTCGGCCCCACGACATTTTTGGCAACATTTATGAAACAGAGAGTTTAGTTTTTAACTCATAATAAATCTGATTAATATTTATGTGTTTGACCTCATCCTTCTAAATTGGTAACTTATACGAAGTACGGCTTTTACCCTAAGGAAAATTGCACCCTCTATTTAGGTTATTATGTGAACTCCCTCCATATGGTATATTAAGTTTGACATTCCGTTTGTATCCATTGATATATATTGTCGGTAAGAATAAAATTCTATGTCGATTTAGTCATGTTCGCCAATCTCAGATGTACTTCAGGTCAGTAGAATTTTTTGTATTCTTAAACGGGTCATATAAGTCCACATATAATTGTACATCCATTTTGATGGGTTATCTTACACTTTTCACAGGAATTGTTCAAAATTTGTTATTTGAAGTTCGTAATGGGTACTACTTTCTATGATAGAAAATTGCCTATGCGGGCATCTTCGTACAGCACCTGAGCTGACAATAAGCGGTTTTTGGATGATTAATGCAACATGGATCAGAGTAATTATTTCAAAGATGGTATTTGGTAAAGAATATATTCTCAAAACAAATTTATTTATATAGGCCCATATTTTCGTATAGCCGCCATATAACTACCTAAGAAATTCCGTACTTTTATTTATTTATTATGACACATCTTTCGAGGAATTGTTTCAAATTTTGCATTTAGTATTCGTAATTCGTACCGCGTTTTATCACCAAAATTTACCTTTTTTAAGTGTGCAAGCAGCTATGCTGCTCAAAATAGAACCCTATTGGTTTGGAGATGATTGCAAAATATTTGGGGTTGAAATGGACCAAAAACAGAAAATTTTTTGAATTTTGCAGATAGTCTACAGGCTACAATTAGAACCAATCGACCCGGAAATCTACATCGAGTCAGATTTTAGGACTAGGCAGAAGCCTACCAATTTAGGTAGCCATCGGAGAATATTTAGCGGGTTAAATAGACCCTAACTTTTCTTTAAGAAAATAGGAAAATTTCCCCTAGTCAAGAAAACGGATATATAGCAAAATAGGAACTATATGTATGTAAAAAAATAGATGCTATTTATTCTGCTTATAAGTCAAGAACAACTGGGCCGATTTTCACAATTCCCCACAATTTGAAATGGTCCTGGCCAGAAAAGAATAAAATTTAAAAACATCGTGGAAAAATATACTAATAAATGAGTAAATATCTTTTGTTCCATTTTTTGTCATATTTATTATCGTAAGCGATTTTTTTAATTTGACTTACAATTTTTCTAAATTTTTACACCCCTCATGGGATGGCGTTAGGTTGTAATTTTTCTAATTTTGTAGTGGCTCTATAGGCTACAATTGAAAACTAATCGACACGGTATTTCACATCAAAAGAGAGTTAAGGACATTGAAGAAGTCTAGCACTTTGGATGAATATTGTGACCTGTAGAGCAGCTGCAAAATCAGGTCCATTTCAACCCCTTAATACCTTGCGATCATCCCCAAAAATAATAGGATATCCAAGACATCGTCTATACAATATCGTATATCAAAGAAGAGAATGTTAGTAAGACCGCTTATTAGTCTAGAACGACTGGACGAATTTGGTTCACATCTTCGTATAGCCCCTAAATAAATATACCTCCCTATATTCGGCATTAAGCGGAATGATTTCACATTTGGTATTTGAATTTCGTAATAGTAGCTCCAATGACAGAAAATTGCCCGTATAAAGGATGAGATAAAAAAACTGCAACAAAGTCAAAGGCCATAACTTATACATTTTTTTAATTATATCGAATGAAAGCAAAAAATGTCGCAAATAGCATCAAACTTTAGAATAAATTTAGGTTTGTGCGATTTGGTCACCTTTGGCACGAATTATGGCCTTCAAACGGTTAATGAAATCGGCACACGCTGCCCGAATGTTGCTCTGTGGTATGTTGGCCCATTCCCGGCGAAGCGACACATTAGTATTTTCTAGCGCCAACCTTGCTTTCCAAAATACTCCAGACACAATAGTTCAACGGATTGGTATCCGGAGATTTTGGTGTCCATTGTGAGCTGGAACTGAAGCGAGGAACCTCATTTTGTAACCATTCACAGGTGGCGCGTGCTGAGTGCGATGTTGCTGAGTCCTGTTGGAATGTCCAAGGTCTGTGGCCAAAATGTTTACGTGCCCAAGGCTTTAATACACCCTCCAGAATATTTTCGAGATAATATTCTGCATTTATGTGGCATCGATAAATACGAGCGGAGAGCGACCATCGGCTGTTATGGCGGCCTACACCATCACCATGGCCGGCACTTGAGTTCTGGTGGGCAACCGAAGGAGCACATTTTCAGCTGACCTCTTTGGCAAGTAAACACAACCGTTTTGTTTGTTTACAAACTGCTGAACAACGAATGTTTTCTCATCGGAGAAAACCAAACTCGGCAGTTCACCATTTTCGGCCAAGTGAAGCAACTCTTTAGCTCCTTTGAGTCTATTTTCTTTCTATTGCGGTGTAAGTTCTTCCATTTTTGGAATTTCAATGGCTTTACCCCGAGCTCATTTTTCAATATTTGCCGAATGAAATATTGTGATATGTTGAGCTCACGAGCCATTTTTCGGCCACTGCGACGCGGGATTCGATCAAGTCACTTCTTTACTTTTCGAACCATTTCTGATGTTGTTTCTATTTTCTTCCGTCCACTTCCTTGACGTCGGCCTACGCTACCAATTTCACGGTAACGAGCGATGGTAAGAGACGCAAAAGAGTTATTCACATTTAAAAGCTGGAGTACTATAACGATAGCCACTTGTGGTTATCCAGCTAAATATAAAGAAATCACACTATCATGTTTGAATTCCATCGCGAATAAGACGTTTCTGGAAAATTCTCACCAAAATGCTTTTATACGCTTTTAAACAATATATTGAGCTGTCACTGGAATAATTTTAACAGCTGTCGGACGAGTGGCTTAGAAATGACAGCATTCTGAAGTTGGTTGCAGTGTTTTCATCTCACCCTCATGTCTTCGTTTAGCTCCCAGTAAAAAAATAACATATATTACGAAAATCTTAATGGAAATGCAAATTTTTAAAATCCGCAAATCACTCGATTTGCGGATTTTGAAAATTTGCATTTCCCTTCAGATTTTTGTAATTTTTTTCGATATTCCAAAATTTGCAATTCTTAATTAATTAATTATTAATATTTTACGAAAATATTTTTACTTTTTCAGAATTTAGAAAATAATATGCCCAAAACTATCACAATTGAACACAACTTTCCTTTTTCAAATACGGAAATTGCAATTTCAACGTACACCACACACCAACATTTTCGGTTTTAATATTTTTTTTCTAAACTCCTGTAATTTTTCTTATATATCGATGTTAATTTTTAACAACTTTCTATGGAAATTGCACGAGCAATTGCACAGTGTAATATAATGTACGAAACCCTCAGTCAATAATAGGTGATGTCGATATAATTATACACAAAAAAATTCAATTTAAATTTCGATATTGATTTTGATGTAGATGTTGCCTATCGGAAGTTAACCTCGTCGACTTAAAAGAAAATGCAATCTGTAATTGATGGGTTGGCATGCTATCGCAAATGATTTAATTAGACTTGACATGGCTATAAAAGTAAGTTATAGACATTTCTAAAACAGTTGTAGATATCACTATGAATAGTTTAAAACTGTGTTATTTTTTAGTCGCAGTCGCATCGTGCGGATTAGTTCCATCATTGGGTGCCGCATTTGAGTGGCGTAAGTTAGAATTTCTAAAAAATATATATTTTTTAGTTTTGGCTTGATTTATCAACATTTATCACACAAATTTTAGATTATTAAGCTCATCTCGAAAGACAAGTAAATATTTTATGTTCCGTTTATTTTTTGTCTCTAATTCTAGCATTTTTAAAAGCGTGCACGCCAAAGGATGAATTATGTCAACGAAAGCGTGTTGTGGAATTCTTTCAGACATATTCCAATGGAATACCAGAACTGGACATACCTTCCCTTAATCCTATGTATTTGGGCAATATAAATGCAAAGGGCCAAGGAAATGAGAATTTAAATTTAAATATAAATATGATAGATGTTCTGCTCTATAACTATACCAACATTGAGTGTCTGGATGTAAAGGGTGTTACGGGGGACATGACCAAACCGGCACATTTGACATTTAAAGTGAAGAATCCTCATTTAATTGTTCGCACGCGTTGTCATCTAAGCGGGAAACTGTTAATATTTAATGTTGAAGGTGAAACCGATTTGGAGGTTCACATGATGAACACAACCACAGTAATCGATGTAGATTTGGAGCCCTATTCGGAAGGCGATCAAAGTTATTTCAAAGCAACATCCTTCTGTGCCAAACAACAAACGCCCAGCATGAAAATTTTCTTCAAAAATTCAACACTTTTCAATGGAGATCAAATGTTTGCCGATGTTTTCACCGACACCATTAACGAAAATTGGATGTTGATGCGTGATGAAATCCAACCGTATTTTGAAAAGGCGAATGCTAAAGTGTCATTGGTAATATTAAATAAGATTTTAATTACCATACCCAGTGATCAGTATTTTAAGGATGAATAAAGATAATCGAAAATTGTTTTATAAGTTTACTTTACTGAAAATAATCAAATGTTGGATAAAATACTACAATCATAGAAGTTCAAACGATTTCTAATAGACATATCTTTAATGAATATATAGACCAAAAAATCCGATTTGGTTTTTACATTTGAAATGCCTTTTACATTTTTTTTATTTAAAAACAAATAAGCAAAGGCTATAGCCGTGCGGGGCCGACCATGTGATACCCTACAACACTATAAAATGTTAGAAACACCCTTATGTCCAAATCCATTTTGGAAGACTCCGCTTTTGAAATTATGTAATAAAGCATTGCCCAGATATTACCCTTAGCTTTTTGCCCAATATTTACGCACTCCGGAAGTGTTGGTATTTTTTTCACACAAAAGTAGTGGTCCATTCAATCCGCTGTCCTAAACTTTACCCTCATGCGAGATTTTGTGTACTGTGTACTTTGGTTTCTATTTGTGACCTTTATAACGGCTGCAAAATCAGCAAAATTTTTAGTTGTTGATCCATTTCAACCCCTAAATATATTGCGGACATCTTAAAAAAATAGACCTAGCCCTTCTGAGCCTAAACCTACTCTTATGAAAATTTTCGTGAGGATCGGACGATAATGGCAATCTGTACACAATAACCCCAACCTGTGTTGTAAGGTGAAAAAATATTACAAAATATACACTTCAATATTATAAAGCAAATTGCAAAAATCGCATGTGATAAAAATAATGAAAAAAATTCACAAAATACTACAAAATCTATATTAACATCATTATTGGCATCTTTTTATGCGTTTTTTTAGATTTTATTCCTTTGTGCCACGAGGGCATTTTGAATTGACAAAATTTGTCAAAATCGGTCCAGCCATTCTTGAGATATAAGCATTCTAGCTAACATCCCTTTCCTTTGTATATACACATTATATATATCCCGCTATATATATCCAATATGTTTTCTATCGGCATGTACGTAAATGTCAGGATTGACCTGTTCGTCTTTTTGTGATTTCGCCGGCATTAAAAATATTCGCTGTTTAATGAAAAATTTGAAAATTTGAAAAATAATTTATTTAACACAAATGTTATGGTATGTTTTACCCACTAAATATTATCCGATGACCATCCAAATTGGAAGACATCTGCCCGCGTCTTTCGCGTCGGTTGGTCTATAATTACGACCTGTAGAGCAACTGTAAAGTCATGAAATTTTTTAGTTGTTGGTCCATTTTACTGATAGATGGGATCAAATATCGTTGTTGTGGAAAGCATTTTACGGTCGTGAGTAACTTAAATACAAAATCTTATGAAACATATATATGGGACCTATAGCTATATCTTAACCGATTTTCACCAAATTTGGTACACTTTCTTCCAGGCTAAATTCGTTCGTATGTGCCAAAGTCCATCCGATTCGGTCTTTTATTAACCATTTGGTACACCATAAACGTGTAATCGAGTAAATATATATATGAGAGCTATATCCAAATCTAAACCGATCTCGATAAAATTTGGCAAAAGTATTTCTGAGCTGTATTTGATATCATTCCCGAATATCGTTGTTACGGAGTGCATATTACGGCTATGGCTAAAATACGAATCGACAATTCTTCTGCAGTATCCCGAAAAAAATTAAAATTTTAACAAGATGATGAGATTTTATTATCGTTCATTTCAAAGAATTTAAGGCCAAGATAATAATGGTTTTTTAAAAAAATAAAGTTCTAGAAGGTTCTTCTGACAATTAAACGTGAATTTATGCCGCCATACTACAAAACGTCACTGCATTCGTAACTTTGTGTATATATTCTTGATCAGCGTAAAATTCTTAGTGGATTTTGCCAAATCTGTCCCTTTTTTAAACACAATAGAGTTTAAAGAATTTAGATCCGTAGAAATCTTGGTATTGAAAATGGGCCATATTTGTATAGACCCAAAAATACAAAATTTATTAACAGACAGAATTATTATTATTTTTTTTCTTATCCCAGTTTAAGACCGAACTTGCAGTAAATTGGAAATTTGTACATTCGATATATCCTTTCAGAGAACTGTTCTCATAGGTACACATAACTGTCCTCCAGATATTCGGTTTTCTGATTATTTATATCACAATTCTCACCGGATTTGTTTTAAAATTTGTATATGGAGTTCGTGATGGATACTACCTCCAGCGACAAAAAAATTGGCCTCTATAGATAAATTAATTCCTATAGCTCCATATAATGGTACATCTCTATATTTAATTGATTTTGGAGTAATTTTTCAAGGAATTTATTTCAAATTGTGAATTTGCATTAAGTTCTATTTTTTTCTGATAAACAATTACCAGAGTTCTTACATTAATGATAGAGACTATCAAAATTTCGACTTCGCCGAATTTATTTTTTTACTTATTTAATAATATTTTTCAATCCGTTTCCAACTACATTTTTTTACCGTCTTCATGGACAAAAATTCTGAATACATATATTTTTTAATTATTTTCCAAAAGGTTAACATTGAATTCAATAAAAAAACGAGGATTTCAAGGCCATATGCAACCCGAATATTTTAAGAAAACAGGGTGCTCTTGAAGAAAATTGCTGATTTCTTAAAAATATATTTATTATTTTTTAGCTTTTAACAGCCTGATAAAAAATAAATTTCAAATTAAAGTTTTTTTCCAAGGATTTCAGATTTTGTAATGAGAATTCTTTTTATCATCCAAACAAAGAAATTTTGCCATATGTCGCACAATTTTCACTTTACCAAATGTTTCATATTGATTATGAAATTGTGAACACCCCACTGGACAATGGCTCTGTTAACAATGATGTAATCATAAACAATACTAATTATGTGATAGATATAATAACCATGGGTGTCCCTCTGTTTTTTTCGGTTTGTGTAAAACACGCAAAAAGAAATCCTTTCGGTGTGGCATGGCATTAAGCACTTGTCCAACACACCTCCATTGGTTCCACCTTCATGCTCTTTCAATGGTTCTCTTTCCAAAGAAAAATATCGGATTTTCATTAGAAAAGCGCCGTTGAGTCTTTTGGTGTTTTTGCCATGGATGTCCTTCTTTGAGTGTATGACAGTTGAGCTCTCTCTCTCTCTCTCCCTTTGTGTATGGGTGTGTGAGCGGTTCACAATGCACGCACTTGCTGTGCTTGTTGTCAAAATGCGTTAAAATGTCTCCGATTCGAAGGTGTGTTAATGCCCTTGTCCGCCTCGTGAAACGAATAGACAATGGAATTGAAAAAAATGCACATTGTGACCTTATACAAATTCCACTCGGCATCCATTGTAACATTTTATCTTTGGTTCTCACAGCATAATTGTCTCTTTTTCATATTTTATTGTTATCTAATTAGCCGCATGTCACATTGTTGTATTGTCCTGACCTTTGTTGTGGTCCATATCCTAGTTCGTTTTTTTGTTTGGCACTCCAAAATGTTTTGTAACTTGTTCCCTAGCATGTTTCGCATTTGTTTGATATTTTCTTTGTTTTGTTCTGAAACCTTTGTAGTTGCGTTTGTCATTATCATTGTCATTGGATTTGTCCGCTTGTCAACGCCTTAATGCGGTTTCTGATATTTATGACATTGTGTTGCGTTTTTCATAATTCGTTGTGATCTGTAAATTCTATTGTTGTCATTGTATGGCAATAGAAATGCTATTGACTTTTTAGGTTAATGGAAAATCAGGTTATTCATACAGATGTGTTGTAAGAAGAGCAAATTCAATAATTTTTAGAAATTGTTAATTTAAAAGTGTGAAATAATTCATAACATTGAGCAGTGAGCACTCCAGTATTTAAATGTGAATAAATCGCTCGTTGCCGTGATACTGGTATCGTAGCTCGACGTCAAGGAAGTGGACGGAAGAAAACAGCAACATCAGCAGAAATGGTTCGAAAGGTAAAGAAGCGACTTGACCAAAACCCGCGACGCAGTGGCCGGAAAATGGCTCGTGAGCTGAACATAAAGCCATTGAAATTCCAAAAAGTGCAAGAACTTGCACCGCAACAGAAAGAAAATAGACTCAAAAGAGCTAAAGAGTTGCTTCGCTTGGCCGAAATTGGTGAAGTGCCGAATTTGGTTTTTTTCCGATGAGAAAACATTCGTTGACCAGCAGTTTGAAAACAAACAAAATTATCGGTTTTAATTGCTAAAGAGGTCGGCTGAAAATGTGCACCTTCGGATGGCCACCAGAACTTTAGGGTCGGCCATGGCGCTGGTGTGGACCGTGGCATCAGAATAAATGCCGAATATTATAGGGAAATTTTCTGGAGGGTGTATTAAAGGCTTGGACACGCAAACATTTTGGCCACAGAACTGGACATTCCAACAGGACTCAGCACCATAGCGCTCAGCATGCGACACCCAAGAATGGTTACAAAATGAGTTTCCTCGCTTCATTTCCCGCGCACAATGGCCATCAAAATCTCCGGATACCAATCCGTTGGACTATTGTGTCTGGAGTATTTTGGAAAGCAAGGTTGGCACCAAAAAATACCAAAGTGTCGATCACCTCAAGTAAGCGCTTCGCCGGAAATGTGCCACAATACCGCAGAGCAACATTCGGGCAGCGTGTGGCGGTTTCATTGGCCTTTTGAAGGCCATAATTCGTGCCAAAGATGACCAATTCGAACAAATCTAAACTTATTCTAAAATTTGATGCTATATCCGACAAGTTTTGCTTTCATTCAATAAAATTAAAAAAAAAAATGTAAAAATTATGGCGTTTAACCTTGTTTCAGATTTTTTTATCTCACTCTATATATTTGCATCTGAACCGATCTTGATCAAATTTGGAAAACGTATTTATATTATAAAGTTGAATCCATGTTAAATTGTAAATTTGAATAGATAGCAACTATGGCGAAATCCTCACGAAAAAAATTTTGATTTTGAATGAGGCTAGAGTTTAGTTTTTGGCCGATTTGAATGGGCATCGATAAATATTTAACAGGATTAAATAGGCCAAAATTAATATAGTGTAAATGCTACGAATATTTGTATGGCCTCGT